TTCAACACCCCGTTGACAGCACTGGATAGATCCTCTAGGCAAAAAATTAGCAAGGAAACAGAGACTCTAAATGAAGCACTAGACCAAATGGATTTAATAGATATCTACAGAGAATTACACCCCAAAACTACAGAATACACATTCTTCTCAAGTGCACATGGGACATTCTCAAAGATAGACCACATGATAGGACAAAAACTAAATCTCTACAAGTTCAAGAAGATTGAAATCATATCAAGCATCTTCTCAGATCACAATGGCATGAAACTATAAATCAACTGCAACAAGAACATGCAAAGACATTTCAACACATGGAGGCTAAATAGCATGTTATTAAACAATGAATGGGTCACCGAGGAGATCAAGGAAGAAATTAAAAACTTCCTGGAAACCAATGAAAATGAACACACAACAACACAAAATCTATGGGATGCAGCCAAAGCAGTTCTGAGAGGGAAGTTCATAGCACTACAGGCCTACCTCAAAAAACAAGAAAAATTTCTAATTGACTGTCTAACCTCACAACTTAAAGAATTAGAAAGCAAACAAAAAGAAAACCCCAGAGCAAGTAGAAGGAAGGAAATAGTAAAGATCAGAGCAGAAATAAATGACATAGAGACCAAAAAAACAATTCAAAGGATCAATGAAACAAAGAGCTGGTTTTTCGAAAAGATAAATAAGATTGATGGACCCTTAGCTAGACTCACCAAGAAACAAAGAGAGAGAACCCAAATACACAAAATCAGAAATGAAAGAGAAGTAACAACCAACACCACAGAAATACAAAAGATCGTTAACAGCTACTAAGAACAACTATATGGCAACAAATTCGACAATCTAAGCGAAATGGACAAATTTCTAGAAACACACAGCCTCCCAAAACTATTCCCGGAAGAGATAGAAAACTTGAACAGACCAATAACAACGAAGGAAATTGAAGAGGTACACAAGACTCTCCCAGCAAACAAAAGCCCAGGCCCAGATGGTTTCACGGGGGAGTTTTACCGAACATTTAAAAAAGAACTAACACCCATTCTCCACAAACTCTTTCAAAAAATTCAAGAAGAAGGAAGACTTCCAAACACGTTCTATGAAGCCAGCATAATTCTAATTCCAAAACCAGAAAAAGACACTACGAAGAAAGAAAACTACAGGCCAATATCCCTGATGAACATAGACGCCAAAATCCTGAACAAAATATTAGCAAATCGGATCCAGAAATACATCAAAAAAAATTATTCACCATGACCAAGTGGGATTCATTCAAGGGATGCAAGGCTGGTACAATATTCGCAAATCAATAAACGTGATACACCACATCAACAAAATGAAGAATAAAAACCACATGATCATATCAATAGATGCTGAAAAAGCATTCTACAAAATCCAGCATCCATTTCTGATAAAAACGCTCAGCAATGTAGGAATAGAGGGATCATATCTCGACATAATAAAGGCCATATATGAAAGACCTACAGCCAACATCATACTCAATGGACAGAAACTAAACACATTTCCATTAAGAACAGGAACAAGACAGGGATGTCCACTTTCGCCACTCTTATTTAACATTGTACTGGAAGTCTTAGCCACAGCAATCAGACATGAAGAAAAAATAAAAGGGATCCAAATTGGAAAGGAGGAAGTGAAACTGTCATTATTTGCAGATGACATGATATTGTACATAGAAAACCCTAAAGACTCCATCAAAAATCTATTAGACTTAATAAATGAATTTGGCAAAGTAGCAGGATACAAAATTAATGTCAAGAAATCGACGGCATTCTTGTACATCAATGATGAACTCACAGAAAGAGAAACTGAAAAAACAATCCCATTTACCATTGCTCCAAAAAAATTACGATACCTAGAAATAAACTTAACCAAAGAAGTAAAGGACCTATTTGCAGAAAACTACAGGTCATTGAAAAAAGAAATAGAGGAGGATATAAAAAAGTGGAAGCACATACCCTGTTCATGGATTGGAAGAATTAACATCATTAAAATGTCCATACTACCCAAAGCAATCTATAGATTCAATGCAATCCCCATCAAAATACCAACGACATATTTCATAGAACTAGAACAAATACTTCAAAAGTTCATATGGAACCAAAAAAGACCCCGAATAGCCATAGCAATCTTGAAAAAGAAGAACAAAGTAGGTGGGATCACAATACCAGATATCAGGTTATACTACAAAGCGACTGTAACCAAAACAGCCTGGTACTGGCACAAGAACAGGCATATAGACCAGTGGAACAGAACAGAAAACCCAGAAATGGACCCAAGGCAATACGCTCAATTAATATTTGACAAAGGTGGCAAGAGCATACAGTGGAGTAAAGACAGCCTCTTTAATAAATGGTGTTGGGAAAATTGGACAGCTACATGCAAAAAAATGAAACTAGACCATCAACTTACACCATACACCAAAATAAACTCAAAATGGATAAAAGACTTAAATGTGACCCGTGAATCCATAAAAATTCTAGAAGAAAATGTAGGCAACAAAATTTCGGACATCATACGGAGCAGAATTTTCACTGATACATCACCTAAGGCAACAGAAATAAAGGAGAAAATGAACACATGGGACTACATCAAACTAAAAAGCTTCTGCACAGCAAAAGAAACAATCATCAAAATGGAAAGGCAACCCACTGTATGGGAGAACATCATTGCCAATGATGTATCAGATAAGGGGTTAATTTCCAATATATATAGAGTGCTCATACAACTCCACAAAAGGAAGACAAAGAACCCAATTAAAAAATGGGCAGAGGAGCTGAATAGACACCTCTCCAAACAGGACATACAAATGGCCAAGAGACATATGAAGAAATGCTCAACATCACTAATCATCAGAGAGATGCAAATTAAAACAACAATGAGGTATCACCTCACACCTATCAGAATGGCCGCCATCAACAAATCATCAAACAACAAGTGTTGGCGAGGGTGTGGAGAAAAGGGGACTCTAATACACTGCTGGTGGGAATGCAGACTGGTGCAGCCGCTATGGAAAACAATATGGTGCTACCTCAAAAAATTAAAAATTGAACTTCCATTTGACCCAGTGATCCCACTGCTGGGAATATACCCTAAGAAGCCTGAAACACCAATCAGGAAGAATATATGTACCCCCATGTTCATAGCAGCACTATTTACAATAGCTAAGATCTGGAAACAGCCCAAGTGTCCACCAGTAGACGAATGGATCAAAAAGCTGTGGTACATATACACAATGGAGTACTATGCAGCTGTAAGAAAGAAAGATCTCTTATCCTTTGAGACGACATGGAGGGACCTGGAAAGTATTATCCTAAGTGAAAGAAGCCAAGCAGAAAAAGACAGATACCACATGATCTCACTTATATACGGAATATAATGAACATAACAGTCTGAGGAATACAGTAGACCCAGACACATGGAAGTAGGGCACAGACTGACATCCCTCAGAAGAGGGGATGGGGGTGGGGGGGTGGGAAGAGATAAACCACAGAACTTATATGCATGTATGCATGACCAATGGACATGGACAACTAAACCGGGGACAGGGTGGGGGGGGGTGCCAATGGGGTAAAAAGGTAAAATATCTGTAACAAAAAAATAAATAAAAATTCATAAAAAAAATAAAATAAAATAAAAAGGTGTAAATAACTATACATTAAGGATGCCCTCCCTGATATCTGTAACTCAAACATGTCAAATGTATTGAATCCTTGCTTATTTTACTGAAAGAAAAAAAAGTGGCATAAATTCAGTAAAAATATTTTACTGAAAAAAAAATTCTGATGAGGCACCTTATTTATAATATGACCTTCTTAGACTCAACCCAAAGGAACTGTTCTCTGTGACATGTTTACTCTCCAGTTGTCCTCAACATACTTCATAAATAATATTTGACAAGAAAAACTTCATCGTAAAGGTATAAAAAATATAATTATCTTAAAATATTCATATTGTATGTTGTTGCTGCTTAATTTCCCATGATTTCACTGTCTGACAACTCAAGGAGAAAAACTGATGCCTTAAAGCAACAATTACCAGGTACCTGCCTTGATCAAAATAACCAGGTAATTACTAAGATCTTGACTTTGCATAGAGTTACGCAGGTAAGTAAAGTAATAATAGTTTTTAACAACACCAGAATTTGCTGCTAAATGAAATTTAAATATTATCAACCAACATCAGCTGAGTGCCTACTCTGTATAGACTAAAATATTGTGCCACAGTGATACCAAAATCTGAGACAACAAGGGCCCAGGTAAATATTATTTTGTTAGACTCTAGGAAGTCCAAAGCCTGCAGAGTAGAGTGGTCCTTCAGAATGGAGGAGAAAAAGAATCCGATTTAAAGTCAAAAGAGTCAAACTCTCTGTGACAGAGAGGCCTTGAACAAATCATTTAACCTCTCTCTCAGCTCTTAGTATTCTCAATTACTAAAAATATTTTATCTTTACTTATTTCAATAGGTTGGGGTGCTTAAATGAAACCTTGGGAAGGGTTTTGTAAAACCATATTTAAATAGGAGTGATTTTGTTGAAAGTGCCTGAGTGAACCAAAGTCCTGAGCCATGTTCAAGTGCACAGCAGAGGCCTTCAGCTAAAATGTACTGATGGACTATGGTATGCAAAAATATGTGTCTCTTTAAAGGGATATTTTTCTGAGTGGAGGAACTATAGTTTTCATGAGACTCCTCAAAGGATCTTTGGTTCTTCTCTTCCTCCTCACTACTCTCCAAAAAGTTAAGTGCAGTCATGCTTAAAATGTTGATACCTTGATTTGTAAATTGAATAGCCACTTCTAATGAATATGCTTATAAGTTCAGATTTCCATTTTGGGACTTTTTCATAAAGGCATCACCACGTATATTTGGAAAATTTTGAGGTTAGATGGAAAACTGGACTCTATACTGGTCGGTTGCAATCCTTCTATTCAAACAGAAATGGGATTAAATGGTTTCTTAAACCCCCTTCCATCTTAAGGACTTAGTTACCTTGTTTGTCACAGTTTGAAGTGTTCCCTGTGAATCACCTTAGAAATATCCTTGGTTCTGAAATAATAAGAACATAATACAAACTTTTATTTATGGTGTTCACCACAATGTTGTTTATAGCTTCAAGATATCTGAAGGAAAAAAAACCCTAAATATTCAGTGATAGTATATCCTAGGATGGAATACCATACACATATTTTTAAATTATGCTTTCAAAGGATTTTAACAACATGGTAAATGTTAATAGCAGTAAAGTAAGCTTAATACAAGAAGAAAATTATATGTAAAGTATAATTAATGTTATAAAATTACATGTAATATGTATATCTTTATACACATACATTACATATTTTATTATAACTAACCTAAAGGATGTATACCAAAACATTATTAGTGATTATCTCTAGATGATGGGATTATGGATATTTTTATCTTACTTTATTGTTTTTTATTTTCTTTTTATTGGTTTTCTCTTTTTGTTGCTGTTTTCTTTTTTTGGTAACAAAAATACTTTTTATTTTCAATTATAAAAACAACTGCAAAATAGTACAGAAAAGCACCAATTAAAAAGCAAAAATAAGTCACAGTTCCACCACTAGACGATTCCACTGTTAACATTTTATATAATCCTTCTGAATTTATTTTTACACATGTCCCCCTACACACACACTTATGCACAAATGTACACACACACACACACACACATACATGTTCTTTGTAGTCTGTTTGTTTTGTTTTTTAACTAATAGACTTCATTTCTTAGAGCAGTTTTAGGTTTACAGAAACTGAACAGAAAGTACAGAGAGTTCATGTATACTAATCTCCCCTCCCCCATTCCTCCTATAGTTAAGGTCTTTCATTGGTGTGGTACATTTGTTACAACTGACGAGCCAATACTGATATACTATTACTAACTAAAGTTCACAATTGGATTCACTCTTCTGTGGGTTTTACCAAATGCACAATGTCATGTACCACCATTTAAGTACCATACAAAACAGTTTCACTACCCTAAAAGGTCCCTGTGCTCCACCCTCACTTCTCCAACCCCCAGCAATCACTGATATTTTACTGTGTCCATGGTTTTACCTTTTCTAGAATGTGGTGTAGTTGGAATCAAACAGCATGTAACTTTTCAAACTCTCTCTCACTTAGCAATATACATTTAAGGCTCCTCCATGTCTTTTATGTCTTTTTTTTTTTTTATCCTCACCCGAGGACATTTTTCCATTTTTTGTTCAGGTAGAGTGGGAGGGAGAGAGAGGAACAGAGAGAGAGAAACATCGATGTGAAAGGAACACATCGAGTGGTTGCCACCCGCACAACCGACCAGGGCCGGGGACAAACTGCAACCGAGGTACGTGCCCTTAGCGGGAACCGAACCGGGGTCTCTCAGGACCGCAGGCCGACGCTCTAACCGCTGAGCCAAACCGGCCAGGGCTGTCTTTTATGTCTTTTCCTGATGCAATAGTTCATTTCTTTTTATTGTTGAATAATATCCCATTGTCTTGATGTACCACTTTACTTATCCATTCACTTACTAGAGGGTTGGCTGCATTCAATTTGGGGCAATTGTGAATAAAACTGCTATAAATACTAATGTGCAGGTTTTTGTGTGGATATGCTTTCAACTCCTTTGGGTAAATACCTAGAGGTGCATCTGCTTAATCATATGGTAACACTACATTTGGCTTTGTAAGAAATTGTCACACTATTTTTAATTATTTATTGTAGATGTCTTTCCATATAAAAAATATATATAATTGCATAGTATTCCATACTCTGTATACACTGTAGTTTATTTAACCATTCCCCTATTAATGGGCATCAAGATCATTTCCACAGACTGAAAGGTGCCAGAGGGGATGGGAATTGGAGACTGGGTTTAAAAGGTGAAGGGATAAGAAGTACAAATTCACCCTAGCAGGTTTGGCTCAGTGATTAGAGTGGCCTGAGGACTGGAGAGTCATGGGTTCAATTACCGGTTAAGGGCACATATCTGGGTAGCAGGTTAGATCCCTGACCCTGGCCAGAGAGCATGCAGGAAGCAACTGATTGATGTGTCTCTCTCATATTGATGTTTCTCTCTCTCCTCCTCCCTCCCTTCCTTTCTATCTAAAAATCATTGAAAAATTATCCTCAGGTGAGGATTAACAAAAAAAAAAAGAAGAAGAAGAAGAACAAATTGGTAGTCACAGGGATATAAAAGTACAGCATAGGGAATAATGTGTCAATAATATTGTAATAACTATGTATCATGCCAGGTAGGTACTTGAAGTATCAGGGCTCTTACAGGTAAGGGGAAAAAGACATTACCACATTAAATGTACACACTGACTTCAGAAAGAGTAAAATTAGAATAAGGAAATACAGTGTTTTCTGTGATATATGTTGTTTTTTTAAAAAAATTAACTCTTATGGGAGGTAATTTTCTTTTTTTTTAATGTTTTTATTTTTATTTTTTTTTAGACAAAGAGGAAGGGAGAGATAGAAACATCAATGTAAGAGAGAAACATCAACTGGTTGCCTCCTGCACACCTCCGGATTGAGCCCACCACCCAGGCATGTGCCCTGACCGGGAATCAAAGCAGGACCTCTCAATCCATGGGACAATGCTCACTCCACTAAGCCACACCAGCAGGGCAATTTTGATTATTTTGTTAGTTTTTGTGACATATATTTTTTACGGTCAAATTTGTGGGCAGATTCATTTGTTTTTTCGCTTTGTTAATATGTTTTCACAGGCCTGCTCTAGTCAGAGTATGAGTATAAAAATATTTACTTAAATATTCACCTAGAAGTTTAAAGTGTTTTTAACACTAAATTTTTTATCCATTTGTAATTTTTGTCTATATAAGGTAGAATCCCAACTTTCTAATTTTTCCCTGAAATGGCCAGTATGTTATTCCCACACCATTTATAAACAGTCTATCTTTTGAGCCACTTTATCACATGTTAAATCTTCATATATATTTGGACCAGTCTCTGAACTGAATATTTTGCTCCATTTTTCTGTGGCTCTTTGGAGCTAAGACCACACTGTTTCAATTACTGTAGCTTTTAATATCCCAGATAACCTCATGACTCATCTCCTGCGGGTCTTTACTCAAACACCACCTTCTCTGAGATCTTTCCTGAGCACCCTATTTACAGCCGCAACTTGTGTTTACCCCCATCCCCTCCCTGCACCCCACTACTATCTAGTTCCTTCCTTGCTTTATTCTTCTCCTTAATACATGTCACTATCTGGCATCTTATATATTTTATTTACTTGCATATTGTCTGTATCTGCAAACTAGGTTCCATGAGAACAGAGACTTTGGCCTGTTTTACTGACTTTTGTATCCCCAGTGACTAGAACACTGCCAAGCACAAAATAGGTCCTAAAAAATATTTGTTGAATGAATGACTATCTGGTAGAGAAAATCATCCTACATATAGCCACTATCCTTTTTCAACAAGTCACCATTTCTTTTTAAAGAACCATCCTTCCATGAAATATATAATTAATTTGACCAAGTCAAAAAAAAAAAAAAAAAAAGGTAAGATTTTAATAGGGCTACTGCTTAATAAAGAGAGTATTTTAGGAAGAATTAACAACTTTATAGCATTGAATACTTCCAAGTAAGAACTACCTGTTCTTCTATTTTTTCAAGTCAAGTTTTCTATTATATCCCTCCGTATAGTTTATGGGTTTTCTTTATAAAGGCCCTACATATTTCACATTTTGATTGTTCCTAGTCATTTTGTGATACTTTTTTTTTGTGATATATAAGAAAACTATTGGGTTTTGTGTATTTACTTTAATCTATCTTCTTACTAAATTATCTTATTGTTTCTAAAAGTATTGTAATTAATTTTCTAGCTTTACCAAACAATCACATCACCTGCCAGTAAACCCCTTTCCAGAGGTTTACTCCTGTAGCTTACTTTCTCCTATCCATTATCACAGTGGAATTTTCCAGCAGAGTTCATGTATTACCCACTCTTGAATTTCTTAAAATTAGTTCTATTCTTATAGTCAAGGAGAAAAGTCATAAAAATTTTTTTAATCTTTAGGGCTGTGTAACATACTAGATATTTTAATTTAGGTGAACCAAAATATCTGATATGATACAATTGACATCAGTTGTATGCAACTGATGCAAAAGTCACTTTCAAAATATATTAATTTTTTTCTCTTTGCTGGCAGACTGTTGATGTAAAAGTTAGTTACATAACAAAAAGAAGATTGAAATTGGTTTATGTTTGGAGATTAAGTAATTAATTGAATTAGGTACTGCTGAAACTAATTATTTTTTTAAATAAAACAAAACCAGATTCTTTCATTGAAAGTTAGAAAGCATTAAATCTACATCTTTTGCCCTGGCCGGTTTGGCTCAGCGGTTAGAGCGTCGGCCTGGGGTCCTGAGAGACCCGGGTTCGGTTCCCGCTAAGGGCGCGTACCTCGGTTGCAGTTTGTCCCCGGCCCTGGTCGGTTGTGCGGGTGGCAACCACTGATGTGTTCCTTTCACGTCGATGTTTCTCTCTCTCTCTCTCTGTTCCTCTCTCTCCCTCCCACTCTACCTGAACAAAAAAAGGAGGAATGTCCTCGGGTGAGGATAAAAAAATAAATAAATAAATAAAAAATAAATCTACATCTTTCTTTTATACTATTTTCTATTTACCAATTTTTTGTACAAACACTGAAATTGTTAAAGATTTAATTTGCATATTCAACCAATTTGCATATTGAAATAAGGTTGTATGAGTAATGTGTCAAGTTTTACACACATCTGTAAACTAGGATTTTTGGGGGAGTTACTTTTGTTCTAATAAAATAAAAACAGAGATTAAGAGCAATGATCAGGTGTCATTTTTACAGCTGAAGGTAATGAGACTAAGCAGCCCCAAGGGTCTTGCCCATGCTCACATAGTAGATTGCAGAGCCCAGACTCAAACTCCGGTTTTCTGCAGCTACACATATATTATTTCCACAGTGCTCTGCCTTTTACTTATCTTTATTTATGTAATTAGAAACAATGAAATGTGTTTCCTCATCTATCTAGAAAGTTTTC